CTTATGCGAGTAATTGGCTATTGAAATTACTATTCTTTTATCTTTGACGTTATTTAAACACTAGTTTAAATGGGGTGAGACAGACTGCATTGTAAATGGGTAGCCACGTTGCTGGGGACAATGTTTTTCTTTCTCTTGTCAGAGAAGTATATTTATGCCTTGACAGAAAGCCTCTTTCCTTTCTGAGTGATCTTGACATTCGTGGAAGTGTTTGCACTCTGCTTGATGTGGTGCAGCTTTGTAGGCAGAGTTAGAACAGGCTGTTGCTTGTTCTGCACAAGACGTGCTCTCCCTGGTCAGTGTTTAGGTATGGTCACTACAGACTTGTTCCTAGACACCGTTCCTCAAAACCTGCCACAGAGCCTCCTTCCAGCTGATGTATTCAAGAAAGATCTTGAGGCCGCATTTGTGACCTCACCACATGGGATGTGCTTGTGGCCTCGTTGAATCAAATCCATGCCTCTCAAGGACATTCCCTTCTCCTTCCCATGTTCTTTCTCTTTCTTCCTGTTGTCCCTTGTGCCTGAGATGATTAAGGAATTGATAGTTTTTACAGAGTTTGCAAGGCAGCACTACGAACTCTGGCCAATGGCTCCAGGGACCTTTGGATGTTGGACATGAAACTGTATGACTTGCACTGTCAGTGTTACAGGGCGGTGGGCTCATGTCACAGGATTCAGTCTGTTGTGAGAACAAAGATCTTAAGATTCCGCTCAGTCCTAAATTCCCCAACTTTCTTCTTCTGGTAGTGTTTGATTCTCAGGTCTTTCTGAGGCAGCGGTGAACTGCAATAGATTTATTTCATTATTCCTTTGAAGAAAGGAAAAAGGACGTAGCTAACTATTCCTATGCAGAAGAGGTCAATGTTTAATATGCTAATGTACCTATCCAATTTTAGGCTGCAAAAATCCTTGACTTTAATGTGTCTTTAATAGTTATAAAGTGCTTAGCTAATGATAAATTATGGATTGTGAGTTTGGAGATTTTTTTTTAATAAAAAATTAATGTAGGCAGGAATAATTTTTCTTGCTAATATAATTTGTCATACTGGAGCATAGTAGCTGCAATTTGCAGTGGAAATTGCTCTAGGATTGCTCACCTCATAATAATTGAAATGAAGAATCAAATTTCTTTTCTTTAGCCTTAATGTAAATGGACAATAATGGGATAGATGGGGACCATTTTACCTTTGTTGGTACAGAACTATACATCCCAAGATACTGAATCTGTAGGTCTCGCCATTTGCCAGAGCATGAAAGACACTTTTATGCCCACAAACATTGTTGTCCAAAAATCCACGGGTAAGAATTTGCTTGTGACCCTGTGCCTTATTTGTCATCACTTTTCAGCATTGTATTGGCTGCTGGAGGAATGATGTTTGTGGGTGACCCGCCCTGCTGCAATGTTCAGGCAGTGGGACTGCAGAGTTTTTGGGTGTTTTTTTGTGGGGATCCTAGTAAAGGTCCTCATAAATAAGGAGTGCAGCAGCAACATTTCAGTGGTCATGTTTGCATCTGCATCACAGAGAGCTGAACAGGACATATTAAAGGAAAGATAATGCTATTTAGTTGGAAAGTGTTCGCAGATTAAGCAGTGTATATAGTCAATGCTTTTTTTTTTTTTTTTTTTCTCCTTTTTTTTTCTTCCCTTTTTCCTCAAGCATTTCTTCATTGTTCAGGACTCAGTGCATCAGACTTTCAGAGAAATTATCTACAAATTTCTAGTCACTGTATCTCTTGCTGTATTTACACTATATCACTATATTGATCTCTCTGCTTTTTTAAAAATTGAGTTTGCACATTTTTGTACTTATGTGTCAAAGGAAATTGGCATCTTATTATTGTTTGATGAAAGAAAACACTTGAAATGCAGTAAGTGATAAGCCCTGCTTACCATCTGTTTGGTGAGGCTTCATTTGAGATTCAAAGGAAAGATCTCATGTGAGATTCAGTGAACGCTTTAAATGTTCTCCCTTGCTCTTCTGCAGAAACAGCTCAGCAGTCTGCCAAAAGAGTGAGTTTTTAGGAGAAAGGTAATCTAACTGAAGTGCAGGACCAGGCATTAAGATTTTCTAATTTTCTAAAATTTTCTGAGATTTTCTAAGATTTTCTGCAACTCTTTTGAATTCAGTTTTCAGGGCATATGTGGATGCAAAAGGGGTCCCACTGTGGAAACCTAGAGACTTAAAGCACTGTTGTGCAACCTTATGTGTTTTGGTTTTGTTTTTTTTTTTTTTTTGGAGGCTTGAGTCTCTTTTGATGGGCTTATGTAGGGAAGCTTAGATTTGAGTTTTTAAGTGTACTTATTTTTGAGGTTTGGTTTGAGTAGCCTTCTGTATGGAAAGAAAAGTTCTAACATAAGTCTGAAGCTCCATGCCTTGATATAGGCCTTGCACCTTGAGAAGATGCTTTCTTTAGAATGACTGTGTACCGGTTCTCTTGGACAAGGTTTGATATTGCAATGCTAACCAACTTAATTGGGCTGGCATAGAACTGCCTTTTTAATCTTTCCAGGCTGTTCAGATCATTTTAGGTCAAACGTAATCAAATCTATAAATTCATAGCTATTGACTTAGAGAATATCAATTATTTCCTAAAGTAGCATCAGTAGTAGTTTGAGTGACCAACTATGTTCGAGTTGAATAGTAGTTTGAGTTTCAAATATGGATGGATATTGCCCATTCAGCAGCATGGTGGTTAGATGTTGGATTCCTATTTTAAGTAATGCTCTATGTTTTCTTAGCTTGGTTATACTGCACTTGTTACCCTAACATATAGCGTCATGTAAGGCATTTGTTATCTTCAGTACAAAAACTACACACATAGAAGTTATGTTTGGTGCCTTGTAACAAAGCTTTACTTTGAACAGGAATTCAAAGTACTAAAAGCACTAAGACCAAGATTTCTTGGTATTAATCCTTTAGGAAATAAGTAAAATCATAGAAAAAAGTGTGTTATATCAAGTACCATCCTTAAAGTATTTGTACAATCATTGAAATCTCTGGATATTTAAATACTTAAATAAGAGCCAGATATCCTGAATACAATTTTATGTATTTGTTTCAAGCAGTCTAAGTTATGTGGCACCTGCCCAGCAGGTCGGACAGATGAAGATAGACTGATGCAATTGGTCCTGAAAGAGTAGTGCTGGAATTGTCTGAAGTAAAGCTGAGCTGCCTCCCTCATTCTGCTTTTAACAGTTGATTTTATTGGTGTCATTTCTGATAGCAAAAATCCTTTATCTGTGTCTATGAAAACAGCTATGATAGGCTAAAGCTTGGAATTCCCATGCGGTTGTTAACCTGTCTGGCATTCCTGAAGCAATATGGAGCCTCATTCATATTTGATTCAGAGTTTGCTCAGTGGATACAGTTAATGCTTTCTAGTGCTTCCTGATCAATCTAATAGATTGAGAGTGTAAAGAGGTAGGTAGGTGGGCTGTCTAAGCCAGGTCAGTGCCTCCAGGCCTAAGCTCCTGCTCATCTGTACGGGGGATAGCTGGAAAAGAGGAGAGCTGGTCTCTGCAAGAACATGTGGAAATCGAAGAAATCATGCAATGTCAGGAAAGAATTCTGTGGAGGAACAGCTGTTTAAAAGCCTTGAGCTAGTCTAAATTTAAATTGCATCTCTCAATTATCAGGGAAGAGACTGTCCAGTAAGCTTCTCTTACACATTATTAAAGTTTTTTTTGTTTGCCATAAAATCCTAAAGCATCTTAGTTGGCTTAAGGATATCTGAATACAGTGCTGACCTGAATAAATAGCTGTGCTCTCAAAGGAATGAATATATATGTTTGTATAAAAAGAGCGTGGGAGGAAGTAACAGCAACAATTGGGCTTTAGATAAAGCAAAAAGATATCTTTTAGAAATATGACTTTTCTGTTATTTACTTTTTTTTTTTTTTTTTGGATTGGAACATTTTTGATACTGATGATTTAGTGCCTGCTTAAGGGGGCAGGAAAAGATAAAGGGGAGAAAGTACTCAGCAAGCCAGAGCGCTTACCAGTGTTTGTTTGCTATCTAGCTGCTCCTCTCCTTCTGCACTCAGCCTCTCACCTACTGGTCACCACCAGATCCCTGATGTGGGAAAGCTCTCTGCGAGGCCTCCTGTCCTTCTCTTTTAGCCAGTGCTGGTTTTGCTTAAAGAGCCTCTATAAGCCATGACCACCAAGATTGCCACCAACCTGCTGTCCTGTCTAAGGCTTTGGAAGGCAGATTTACTCAAATCCCGTGTACTTTCATTTGCTTGGAATACTACTGGATATATTGCTTTTTTGTTCTATCACATGCTTTTTATTAACGACTTGTTGATCCACCAGCTGGCTTTGTAACTGCCTGATGCAATCAGAAGAGGAATGTGGCCAGCTACAGTTGAGGGCATTAGCTCTTGCCTCAGGCCTTGCTGTTCTGCCTGAAGAATATAAAACATAATGCAAGTTTTTATGTATTATTAAAGTTACATCTATAAATCACTGACCCATGGTAGCTGTTTATTACATATTCCATCTTCTGCTTTGATACATTGTTGTTGTCACACTGAGGTGGGTAATGATGACTCGGCTTACTACTGTGGTAATGCACTTAGAGCTTGGAAATCTGTCACTGATGGCATTTCAACACAGGCACTATAAACCAGAGATGAAATTTTAAAGTATTTGCTGTCAAGCTATTTCTCTTAAATTTTTTGTATCTTCTATTGCAGTTCCATAAGGGTTTTGATGCTACTGAATTGTTTGATAGACAATAGTTGTGGTTCGGGAGATCTGTGCTGCAGGACTCACCATCACCGAAGAAATGGTGGTGGTCCTTGCGTTGCAGTGCTAAGCCTGACCTATAAAATGCTTGTGCTCATCAGGTCTTCCTAACAAAACACCAGGATAGCATGCATTTTGATGGACTTGGCTTTTCTTTTCTTACAGCACAGTGGAACACAGGTCAAAAACCACAACATTTTATTATACTTATTGTTTTTTATCTCTTTTTTTTTTTTTCTTTTTACAGCCCTTCTGTATGCAACCATTTTTGGTAATGTGACAACCATATTTCAGCAAATGTATGCTAATACGAACAGATATCATGAAATGCTGAACAGTGTCCGAGACTTTCTAAAGCTCTATCAGGTCCCTAAAGGACTGAGTGAACGTGTGATGGATTACATTGTCTCCACCTGGTCAATGTCCAGAGGAATAGATACTGAAAAGGTGAGTAAATTAAACTGCAGGGAAACAATTCACATCCTGAAAGTATTGCATTGGAATAAACAGGAGGTACTTCCGTAGTAAAGACAACGTTCTTTAAATAGCAGTTGCCTTTTATTTTAAGCTCTTAAATGCAGCATTTCAGCTATTCTGTCATACTGGCTTACGTTAGTGGTAGAAGTCTGTGAGTATTGCTGGCTATGGAGCATAAAGTATTAGAAAAAACAATGAAAGAGCTTGCATTTCAGTAAGTAAAGAAAATAACTTTAAAATTCTAATACAACTTCAGAATCTCTTCAATGAGATTTTTATGCATTTTTTTCTTTTGAGATGTTTGCAGGTACGTGGGCCTGCAAAGTGTAATTTGTTTTGCCTTGGCAGAATTTAAATATAATACTGGAGATACAGTGATGACTACCAGATTTCATTAATAATAATAATGTGTTGTTTAAAAGTTGCTTTGCATGAGGTGAACACTATCATGCTCATTAATTGAATTTACAAGTGAAAATTCCATTGTGTGTTTTAGCATGACAAATGGCCCTTCTCTTGTGCAAACTACTTTCTGCTCTCATATTAGTTGCAAACTTTTATGGAGATTGATGCTGTTTTACTTCTGCTTTGTGGTTTGTGGGATGGTTCATTCAGGAAATCATACGAGAGTTCCAGTCACCAGCCTTCTGGTTGGCTGCTTAGTCTTGCATTGAGGACTGTAGATGCTGGAATTAGAGCAAACAAAGTTGTTTCTATCCTAGTGTTAAATTAATGTTATGGACAGATGTGGCCTCCACTCTGCTGTCTGGAGGCCGGTGGTTACAGAGGTTTATTTGCTTTCCTCAGTGGTCTTCAGCATATCTACTATTTAGATCTCAGACTATGATTCTGGGAGCACTCCCCACAGTAATTAGCTTTAAGAAGGAAAGGATGTTTTAGTACTGAGGCAGACATATTTAGGGAAGATAGATAGCATAAAGAATGCTGGTGCTTTCTTTCACCCCCTAATACAAACTCCAGTCATTGTTTTAATGTAGCAGCGAGACAAAATTGTTATGTGATTTTTAGTTTATCTTCGAAGTCCATTTTCCTCTGATAAAAAGGGAAATGCTTTAAGAAAGCCTTAGGAGACAGCTGGATAACCAAACTCACAACTCACTGTAGCCTTTGACATTTATCTTAATAAACAGAAAAAAACTCTGCAATGATCAGAGCATCAGAGAGCGTAATATGGTGTTGATCTCAATAACTGGTGTGCTCATAGCTGAGCTGCCACTGATGATGACATGTAAAACCAAGAAATCAACTTTCATCTGCATTGCAAAGCTAACACGATCTGAGACTGAATAATGGCTCACCAATCCATAAAATCTGAGCTTTGTTGATTTTGATGCCTCTGTATGACTTCTATCGTGTCATGCAATGAATAAAACATGTTTTGCTCCTGAAATGGAAAAGTGATAGTTGTGCTGCTGTTTAATGCAACACAGTTTTCTACATATGAAGCAGATAGTTAAAGATAATTTTAAAACAGAACTAACCTTCTCACTGTTTTGTAGGCCACATATTTGTCAATTCAGTGTTAATTACAGGCATGCTAGGGAGTGAATAATCAGCTAAAAATCAAAGTCTAGAAGTCTAGAAAAATGCTATTATAACAAAATTTAACAAAGCTGCTGAGATCTAAAATTAAGCTGTGATGATCTATTTTATACCTCCCATATAAATGAAAATCTTCCGCTGTTCATCTGTAGCTTTCAAATATGTTTAATCCCTATTTATTTTTATGAAGTACGGAGACATCTTAAATGGAGAATGGAAAATTAGCTAACTTCCTCTTAATGGGAAACCAAGAGGTTTTTGGATAAGAGCCTCGCTTTAAATATTCTCTTGTTATATTCAGGTTTTCTCGCTGCTATTTCTATTACAGCAACCTTTTGTGTATGTGATGTTCAAATAACAGTGGAGTGTATGTGTGTGCCAAATTTCAGCAAGCATCTGAAAATACAGAATATTTTTATGGTCAGAGGAAATGAGATAATTGCAGAAGCAGCTATGGCTGTTGCCTCTGTTCCACATTAGATGCTGATCTTTCTGCCCAAACTCATTCTGGTGGGTCTGGAAGTCTGAGAACTGGCAGGTTTGGGGGCTGCTTACAGTGGGACAGGTGAGAAAAGTCATCCATGAGTGTCCTATAACAAAGCATTATGGAAATGTATCTCTTCCCAAAGTGATACCTGTAATAGAAAGTCTGCTTGGAGGTGGGCCAAAGGTGATTTTAGCAACAGTAGAGCCACTTGCCCTTGGAGTATCCTGATGCCACTTCCTTGCAGAGAGTTCGGAGCTTAGCTCTTTGCTAGGAGTTTTTGCATAGAGCCACAAGGAGGGGGGAAGGCATATAGCCATCATGTTTTCTGTGTTACCTCTATGCTTTCTGGGAGGGTTTCATGCAGAAGAAGGTGTGGGATTAACACTGAAGCTCACCCAGAGTGCTCCTTAATTGGAGGAGATAAGGTATTAACAAGAAGAAGGGCAGACTCATATACTCAGAATGTTTTTCTCAAAGAATATGCTTGAAATATATCCTCACGGTCTTTATCTTCTGAGGATTTTGTCATCCTCATTCATGTTATGTGTTTCCAGAGATTTACCAGGAACTCTTAATCTGTACATGGAGTAGTAATTCTGCATTCTTTCCACTCAGCTGCCTGTATTACATTAAAAAGGTTCAGAAATAGTCCTGACTGATACTGCAGTGCTCGACATCGATTTATGTACTTTGGAGGACACATCATTAATAGCCGTGAGGAATGTCGCATTTGGAAGATCAAATTGCCCAACACATACCGTCAAAATCCCTTCTATTCTAACAATCTGTTACTGCTACTGAGGGGGTGACTTTTAAATACTTTCAAGTCTCAATATTGAGCCAATGAAACTTCTAATAAAATTTAGGTAATTTGATATCCAGCAGAGCATGTTGCTAAGATGAAAATGTTTTCCTTCAGGTATTATAAAGTAGAGTGAGTACTGTGGCTTATGTCTACATATAATATAGAAGTAAGCGTACGAACTGAGGTTAGAAATCTTAGGAGGGGGAGGAAGGCAATTATTTAAGCCCATGTTTTAAGGGATAAAAGAGGAATGGATAGTCGTGTGTCGTGTTCAAGCCATGCAGAGGAACTGATTGCCTGATTTCCTTTTCAGGTTTTGCAGATATGCCCTAAGGATATGAGAGCAGACATTTGTGTTCATCTGAACCGCAAAGTTTTCAAAGAGCACCCAGCCTTTAGGCTGGCAAGCGATGGGTGCCTTCGAGCACTTGCAATGGAATTTCAGACAGTGCACTGTGCCCCGGGAGACCTGATCTACCATGCTGGTGAGAGCGTCGACAGCCTTTGCTTTGTGGTTTCGGGGTCTTTGGAAGTCATCCAGGATGACGAGGTTGTTGCTATATTGGGTGAGTTTCACAGCTGATACACACATTGTGTGCAAGTATAAATGCACAGAGTGTTTTTATAGCCTCTTGTACTCAAGCACTTAAGTCATTCTTTACTAAAACTCCAGCTGAATTACCTTTATCACAGCCTAGTGGTGTATTTTGAAGAAATAGGCAGCCGTGTGGCGTTAGATGCTTACTGTCTGGAAAAATTAAAAGAGAAGGGAAAAAAAGTACATAATATCATGCAGAAGCATTGCATGAAGTCATTGGCTTGTCTTCCTGTTCCACATAGGTGAATAGAAAAGGTAATTATCTTGTGTGCAGATTGCTTCAACTCTTCTTTCTTCTCATCAGTGGAAACATTGAGAGGTTGCTCTTGCTGTTCTTCCTGTCTTACCATATTTCCTTTCGAAAGAAAATCTATTTAGGACTTCAGAAAACTTTTAGAGGCCTCCCTACCTGTCTTCTTTCCATCCTCCTGATAAAAACCTAGTTTTGCTGAACTATTTTTCTATTAGCTTTATTTTAGATTTTGTTGAAACAATATTTAGCTCAATAAGTCAAAGTAATGTAGGAATTCGTAGCAGTTATATTAACTTGGAGTGACAGCTTTAGGTTGGAGGCACTAAAAAGTAGCTGATAGTGCTATGAACAACATTCTGAAGCAAAGCTAGGAGAAAGGAGTGTGATAATCCAATAGATGTAGATAAATGATGGGGTGGCTGGAGCATTGAAAAGGTGATACTTATCCTTTGATTCTGTCAGGCCCTTTTGTGATAAAGTAAGTTCTCATGGTGGCTTTATCCAGTACCCGTCACTCATAGCAGCCTGGTAAAGAACTTGATAAGCCTAATTATTCTGAACACATACGCTCAACTCTAAGAGGAATGTCTACTGAAAAATAAGGGTGCTAATAATATTCAGAGTTCAGTTTTCCTTTCCTTTTAAAGAGAATTGCATACACAGCACAGCATGAATTTCATGTCCTGAAGAGTCAAGTTTATAATGTTTTGTGCTGTACAAGAAACTAAAAAAAGGTGAAAAATAGTGGGATAACTTTCTTTTTTTCAGGAATCAGGCTGTGAAGCTATCTATTGAAAGTTTCTCCATCCTGATGAAAGTGGTTAACTGAAGTTTTTCCCTATTCTAAATCAGTAGGAACTGTGCTCCTTCAGCATTGTGTATTGCAACAATCCCATTACTGAAGATGCTGCAGGAGATTGATGTTAGGCAGGAAATCTTGGCCTTTGCAGTCTCAGTTTTCTTATCAGTAGAACAGCAATGATTTTTTTTAAATTTCATTTTCAGCTGAACTTGCCAAGCATTTGATAAAACAAGGTACTACAAGGAAAGAAAGTGAAGCCTACGTTGCACAAGAAACATGATTATTGCTGAGCATTCAGACAGAGCAGCTTATTCCATAAGTTTTGTTTACCAATCACAGCTAAGCATGGCTCAGAAGATCTGGCGCATAGCAGCGAACCATGTGAGGAGTTCTGTAGGGTAATTTCAGTTAACAGATATTACAAGGTGACTATAATCTCCTCATAGACATTCTTGAAAAAAAAAACAAAAACCACCACAACAGTGCATAAGTTATTTCAGGTGAATTATTTGCTCAGGTTTGGCTGTCACCGAATAAAGCAGGCTCTGCAATTTGCAATGTAGCCTGTATCTTCTGCACAATAGAAGAATAAATTGCATCTCTAAATTACTGTGTGTGACTGTGGTACATTACGTAAACCAAAGGCAATCTACACTTGATCTGTACAGTATCCAATTCATATGAAAAATTTTCAAGTTCTGGGATCATTTAGCCTTGCAGACAGGCAAACAAAAGTGTATCATGTAGCCTTGGAGCACATTTTGTGCACTTGCATTGACTCATGTAACAAGTATATTCTCCATTCAGGCTTAAGTTCTTACAAGAAAGAACTGACTTAGATTGACCTGGGTTAGTTGGAGTACTGATTTAGAAGAACTTGCACATGGGTCGGAAGTGGGAAAAAAATTTACTCTGTTTTGGATCACCTAATATTACATTTCCTGTTAATTTGACTTAGAGATGATATGGCTCACAAAATGAGTAAATTTAAAAAAAAAAGTCACTGCAGCATTTATAGTAAAAGTTTAAAGAAATTTGTATGAAGTTGGATTTGCTGGGATGAAAGACACGTTTTTGAATTGTATCCAAAATTTCTACTGAAATAAAGAAATTACTAATGTTAATGTACCACAGATTATTGGACTTGATGTGTTTAAAAAAATAAAAATAAAAAAAATCCCCTCTCTCCCCGCCTGCCCCCTCCCCCCAAGAAAAGAGAGAAATTTATCTTTAAGAAAGATGATTTATTTATGATTTGTGATTCATTCCAAAGCAAACAGTAAAGAAAGCAAGATGGCAAGACAAGTCACTGTGCCCTTTTACGTTAATGCTTTGATCAGGAGAATTAGGTAGAAGTGGAGTTTGGCTAGCAGGAAGCAGCATGGATGAAATACAGTTAAGTTTTCTGTAGTTCCCTCTTCTTCCATTTATACCATTGTTATTGCTTAGAAAAAGGTCTGAGGTATGCTCAGCACTTCATGGAAAGTAGAGACAAATAGCATGATTCCTGCCCTGAAGAGAACTGAGTGAACTGTAGGTCATCCAGGACTTCCATTAAGAGGCTGTTTTCTACCTGACTTTGCTTTTAACTTTTTGAAGCATTACACATTTGGACTGATGCTGCTTTATCCATCAGAGGCTGTTACCTCTTTGAACTGCCTTTGCTTAAAAACTCACGCATTTATCCAAATGTGGTTAAGGAAAATGGGTTATTTTGTCACTGCTGAAAAACAATCAGGAATGTATATGCATTTCAGGTGGCAGCACTTATTTCTCTCCTTTGGATCATAACCTTCAGGCTGAGCCACTGGCCATCTGAGAACCTAACCTTGTCACAGGCCTTTAAAGCCTTTAAAAAGGAAAATTTACTCATCTTCAGGAGAGATTTGCTGGATTTTAATGTAATGAATATCTTAAAAAGATCTCCCCTGACATCTTACAATCCCAGACAAGGATCATAAGCTCTGGCTACAGCTGTATTTAAGATGAACAGGGGAAAGGTGGTAGTAGGAGGAGCACGAAACTAAGCTAGTCTTGCTAGTTGTTTCTTAATTTAAGGAGGTTGGAGGACCTGACCTGTCTTTTAATGCACTTTTTGTACTTTTTACATTATAAAATGTTTTCTTAGTATAGCATGAGAATACAGATTGTTTTTTAGAACTGCAGTAAGCAAGAAACTGCTAGAACTGCTGAGTAGACGTTATGCTGTTGCTGAGGCTGTAGTACTTCTGAGGCTTCAGTCTTTTGGTCTGTGGCCCTTCTTGTCTCTCCTCAGCATTGTTAGAGGAAGTACTAACTCTTGTGTTACATCTCTAATTGCATGTGTGCAATGAAAATGTAATAAAAGTTGTAAGATGAAAAAAAGCCTGGCATTGTAGCTAGTACCAAAGTTAACACAGTGAAGGAGAGGATATAAACCTTTTTAGAAAAGGAATCATATTGTGGTGTTGTACAAATATCTGATCAAGAATGCTAAGATGCTTCTTAGTAGAAGGTAATGAGTTCTAATTTAGAGATTGTATTCGAAGGCTGAACTGAGAATCCCTCTTTTCTAGTGAAAATGAAAGAGGCAATGGATTCTTGGACTAAGGCTGAATCCAACCAGTCCAGTTTAAAACTGAAATCTTTGAAATTTCAGAAAGCCTTTCAGCAAAAGATTGAAACAAGGGATGGAACACCTCTTCTACAAGGACAGACTGAGAGAGCTGGTGCTTTTCATCTTGGGGAAGAGAAGACTCCAAAGTGACCTGATAGCAGCCTTTCAGTATCTAAAGGGGAGCCACAGGAAAGAAGGAGACAGACTCTTTAGCAGGATCTGTTGTGATAGAACAACAGGAAATGGTTTCAAGCTTAAAGAGGGTAGATTTAGGTTAGATGTAAGGAAAAAGTCATTTACAGTGAGGGTGGTGAAACACTGGCAGAGGCTGCCCAGAGAGCAGGTGGATGTCCCATTCCTGGAGGCATTCAAGGCCAGGCTGGAGTAGGCTCTGAGCATCCTGATTGAACCGTGGATGTCCCTGTTCGTTACAGGGGAGGTTGGACTAGATGGCCTTTAAAGGTCCCTTCCAACTCTAAGGATTCTATGGTTCTATGAAACTGAGAGATGAGCCTTGAAATTAGGATGACAGACTTTTTCTATAAAGCATTGTCTTGTTCTTAAATTTTCAGACTGCTGCAATATTTGTTGGCTAATTGCTCCCAGAGGGCCTGACTGCAAGGCAAACATTCACTGTGTGAATTGTTCGAAGTTGCCGAAGTGGTCTTGATGATCTCTGCAAGAGGATCATCTGTGCGTATGGATGCGTTTCAGATTTGATTAGATTAGGAGACCTTAAGCCTTTGTTTAACAATTGAAATTAAAGCCTTGAAAACCACTGTGGTCCTCAAAGCTGACCAATGGATAAGAAAAATAACATTTGCTAGAAGGTTTAATTTGAAAAGAGAAATAAATTCTCCACCCCCAGAACACTTTATCCTAAGAGCAAAGCAGTTTATCCCAAACTTACATCCCAGCTGTTTTGCATTTATTATGTTTTTACTATCTGTATTTGAGCTAAGAACTTTCAAAAGAATACATTTTTCAGTAGACTTCTGGTTTAGCAAAAAAAAGTATTAATAATTTATATCCCATACTGTCCCACAGTAGTATTTAAAATGTGTGTTCTGTGGAGTCTGTTTAGAGACCAGCTATTAATATTTGTGGAAATGATATATGACGTCGAAAGCCAGTAGAGAACTTTATGCATATGCTTGTTCTTACACAAGAGGCTAATAACAAAATTTCTCAGATTTTAGACACGTAGATAGGGCAAACTAGGAAGGATCCTAAATAAAAGCAGAGAATCTCAGTCATATGAGCTGGTTGGAGAACTGTGAATAGCTTTAGCGGTGTGCTGATCTACAGTCCAATGAT